AGGACCCCTCAAGGCGGGATGCGGGACTGGGCGCCAGGGTAGCTCGAGGCGGGCGTGTGGGTCGGGCGATCGCTGAGTGAGAGTCCCTTTCGCTGGGTGCGGGCGCGCAGCGGGGAAGCCCAAGAACGCTCCCCTGCGCTCTAGGAGGATTGCGTCCTCGGAGGGAGGCTCCAGGATCCCTAGATCATCCCTCCGTCACGCCTGATATGGCAGAACTGTTTTGGTGCCGTGTGTTGGTCATTGTCTCTCCTGGAGCCCCTTTGTTTTACAAAAGGAGAAACTGAGGCTGAGAGAGGGGAAAGGCCTCCCCATGCCACCGCATCAGCCAGAAGCTGACCTCTACACGACTAACCTCTTTTGCTTTTCTACGATGTCCCTTAAAACCTCAAGTCTGGAGAATTTGAATGGTTTTTAATGCCTTTCTCACTCTGTAGACCCACTTGGTATTACTCTCCTCACAGCAGACAAACCCTGAGAAAAATTCCAAGAACTCTATGGAGTTCCCGGTGCCAAGTGGCTGGTGGGGATGAGACCTGCAGCTTTGACCCTCTGGGGGTTCCGATTCAGAGTCCTATGCACAGGTGACTGTTCCACCCCACAGGGTGCCTGCCTGATGGGTCAAGTAAGCATGGATTTACAAAAGATCTGTATGTTAGAATTCACCGCATGTTCAAATTCTGTAGCCATGTTGGGAGGACAGGCTGCCATGAGTAACGTGTCAAGATCAAATTTATATTAAAATCTCTTTCCTAGTCGTTTGGCCTCTCACACTTGGAGACAAACTTCACTGGCACTTCTTCAGGTAATGCCCCTGCCCTTTGAAGCCATTGTGCTCCATAAGACTGAGAGGGAAGAGTGGAAGGATGGGAAATGAACTGTCAATAGCCAGAACTAGCTCCATTGTTAGGCCTTGGAACCCATTACATTTCTGAGATCTTTTATCCATTGTTTTCTACCAATGAGTAAAATAGGGTTGAGAATGTTGTAAAAACAGCCTCAAAATACCCCACCTCTTCCCAGTTGGGCAAATCATTATTCTTACTTGGCCTTGGTGTCCCCATTCTCATAGTGGGGCTGGCGGAACCTGCCTTGCAAGGGTACTATGATCATGAATGCTTGAAGCCCAGTGTCTGTCCCTCTCTCTCTTAATTTACATAGTCACTATTGGTCCAGCCCAAGTTGACCTTCTGGAATTTCTCAAGGTTCACCTGCTGTGAGAATACCAAGTGGGCCTACTGTGTGGGAGATGCACTAAAAATCAGTCAAAATCTCCAGATTTGTTGAGCACCACTGGTGGCATCCCTGGTGCTACCAGAGAGGGTCATGTGAAAATTTCATGCTTTTATTAAAAGTTGCTTTTTTAAATTAAAAAATACTGCTTCCAGTCTCATATCCCAGGAACAGACTACCACCTGATGTGGCAGAACTGTTTTGGTGCCATGTGTTGGTCATTGTCCAAGGACAGGGTGTCAGGTGGTCCCTAGGGCTGAGAGAGGCCTGGTCTTCAAAGATGTGTTTTTGAGCCAAGCCACTGTCCATGATGGAAAATGACATTCTCTGGGGCTTCAGTCAGAGGCAAGGGCTTCCTGAGCTTTCTTGGGGGCTCTCCTGTGGAGAAGTCGGCAGCAAAGGGAGAAGACAGCAATCTGTTTGGAGAGCGAAGTGGTTCCCTGCAAAGATGTTGCTGTAGGAGCCCTGGATCCCAGTAACCCGCATTCAGCCTACTTTTCCAGCGTGTGCCAAGATTTCTGCTACCTAACTCTCATTCAGAATGAAATCACCACTCAGATCATTGCACAGCTCTTAGTTTCTAGATTGACTTGCTGTCTTTTTGGATAACTGGAATTTGTTTACTATTATACCTAGGACAGGGCAGAGGCCTAATAAATACTTGTCGATTGAACGAACTTGCCTATTTGTTAATAGCTCGGGTTGCTACAATTTGTTTAGTACTTTCTACATGCCTGCTGTCTTACACACATTTTTAAATCTTCACAACAATCCAATGGGTGAGACCCACTTTATCATGGGAAAACTGAGGCTCTGAGATGGTAAATAACTAACCTGATGTCCCATAGCAGTTAGTAGCAAAATCAGAATTTCAGTGCAGTGTCCCCTGACTCAGAATTTTGTGTTTTTTTTTTTTTTTAAAGAACTAGAGGTATCTCATCTAATGGACATTGGAACCCAAAGCCACTTTTCAGCATTTGCAACATCATTCTTTTCTGCACTTTCAAAATATTCTCTAAAATGTACAAACATGAGTTCTGCAAATATGTATATATTTCTCACCTTTTTTCAACCTGCTTGAGCTCTTCCCTTCAGTTCAGTAGGGACCTGGAGGGCCAGCCAGGGGCAAGAGGTGCCCAACACTGAGTGTCTTCCTACTGGTTAAAAACTCTGCCTGAGCTATAGGCTGGGACTTGTTCATGAGCTGTGGTTCCCAGCCACCTCTTGGTCCATCCCCTGTCACTTTCCCTCCCACTTTGCCTGTTTCAGCCACACTAACTTCCTTGCTGTTCCATGAACATAAGGAGCACACTCTGGGTTCAGGCCATTGCCCATGCTGTTTCCTCTACCTTGGACACTGTTCTTTCTGATGTGTGTCTTGCTTGCTCCCTGGCTTCCTTTCAATCTCTACTGAGGTGTCAGCTCCTCAGAGAGGCCTTTCCTGACTCCTCACTGTAGAAGAGCATCCTTTGCTATACACACGTTGGTCTCCCTCCTCCTCTGCATGGCTCCACTACTTCCTGGTGCTGATGGGCAGTTGAGAGATTTTTGTGTTTTTTTCCTCTTTGTATACTGTCTCTCCCTTTATTCACATAGTTGCTCCCACAAGGCAGGACTTTATCTGATTTGTTCAATGGAACAGTATTTGACATACAATCAGGGTTCAATAAATAGCTGAGGAATGAGTGAGTGAATTCAATAGATTGGACCATGCCAACAGGCAGGGATGTGTGCAGTGTCTTAGGGAGTGGAGAGGGACAGGACTGAGCCACCCAGATGTTCTTTCTAGCAGATTGAAGGCAAATGAGCCCCCTTCTGCTGCCCTAAATCCTGTAACTTTTATAAAATAAGAGGAAGGTTTTGATGAATCTCTGTTTTGTCTGTAAAACAGGGGCAGCAAATTTGCCGATATGGAATGTATTAGTAGAAACCAATGAAGACTTCAAAGACAATAATTAGTAATGATGCATAGAACTTTCATTCTCTGCATTTTCTATATCCCTCCCTAGTATTAGCTTATTTCCCCTTACACTGCCTATTGAAGTAGTAACCTTAGAAGAACACCTCTCTGGGTTATTTGAATTCCTTTTATTCAACCACCTTGGAGTACCACAGATAGTCATTGGTTAGTTCTTTCTTATTATGTGTGTGGAATTAAGATATTATTACCACACATTATAGCCTGCAAAATAAACAAGGGCCACAAAAGAACTGTAAAAGTAGGATAGAGAAGAGAAGGGGAAGCAGCAACTTGTTTCCATCAAAACCATTAGTTGTGGGTTTTGTGCTGGGCTTTTGACTGAGAGGACTAGGAGATGAGGGAGGAATGCTTTTCATGTCTATTTCTGAGAAATCCCGTTTCTCAGATGGGTAACTCAAGGTCTGGTTGCAGGAGCAGCTGGAGAGCTGGGCATCTGCTGGCAGGCAATAGGGAGGAAATCTGGAGGCTCCAGAATTTGGCTGATTAGACCCTGATGATCTCTCGTCTGGGTGTCTGCACACTTAGTGATTCCCCAGTGTCTCAGCCACATCTCCAGGGTGTGCACATTTATCCTTCCTGACTGTTGTGGTCAGAAGGGAGATTCGCCCCTGCAGAATTCTGGCAGCAAATTACAGCCTGCACAGTTCATTTGGTAATTAATCGTGGGCTCCTTGGGATGAGTCTGCTTTGCAACTTAGGTCATTGCTTACTCTTTTTAAAAAAAAAATTTTTTTTAGATGTTGATGGACCTTTATTTTATTCATCTGTTTATATGTGGTGCTGAGAATCGAACCTAGTGCCTCACACATGCTAGGCAAGTGCTCTACCACTGAGCCACAACCCCAGCCCCCACACCAAGTAAGTTATCACTTACTCTTAATTTTTCTGTAGCTTTACATGTTTTGTGTGGC